TATTTAAAATGAAGATCATGTGACTGCAGCAGCAACCCAACAGCAGTCAGTAGCACTGAAGCAGTCACAACTTCCCCAAATTTTATTCATTCAAGAGTTATGGATCCTAGATTTTGAATACATTCTGTATATTAGCCTATGTCAGGTATCTGGTTCAAAAATTGTTGCCCTGTGACAGTGATGGCGAACCTTTTAGAGACCGAATGCCCCAAAACTGGCCCCGCCCCTGCTCCATTCCCCCTGCCCCGCCCCCGCTCTGCCCCCCATCCGCCGCCCCACCTGCCCACAGGACCACTCACCACCTCCAGGGCCCGCCGCAGATCGCCCAGGCAGCCCGGCAGCGCTATGGCGGCCACACCCTCTGCCCGTGCCCTGCAGCATCAACTGTGCATGATGGGGTGTGAGGGCAGAGTCTTGTCTACGCTGCCTGGCTGCCATGTCCTTGACTGCGCTACTCCATGTGGGCCATGCTTGAGGACGACTCTCCAGGGGGGCTGCTGGACAGGAGGGGGTCGTGGGGGGAGATGAGGCTGGGGCAACGGCACGTGTGCCCACAGAGAGGGCTCCAAGTGCTGCCTCTGGCACCTGTGCCATAGGTTCGCCACCACTGCCCTATGATGAACCATTTCACCCAGATAAAAGTTATGACAATGAGAGGTTTTAGTGGTATATAGATTAAGAATCTCTAGATAAGATGCAATCATTTTTTCCCCAAAGAGAACTGAAATTGTGATAGTACCCCAATATTTCAGAAAACTGACTCCTCATTTTTTGCCTGTTACAAAACAAAAAGATACTAATAAACAGAATATATCAGTGGTGGCGAACCTATGGCACGGGTGCCAGAGGCAGCACTCAGAGCCCTCTCTGGCCGCCACCAGTCCTTGGCCTTTAGCTGGGTTTTATAAAACCTTTTCGCTTTAGACCACCGGTGCCATGTGCAAAAAAAAAAAGGTTCAATCAATCAGTCAATTTCAACTATTCGCGGGGAAAAAAAAGGTCTTGCAAAGTTGGAATTGATTGATTGAACTTTTTAGTCCCACCCAGTCTGCCATTACCACCGCAGCCACGCTCACCCAATGGGCCATACCCTTCCAATTGGCCACACCCAGCCAATGGGCCACACCCACCCGGCACCCGACGATGCATAAGTGGGTTTTGGGTTGCAGTTTGGGCACTCGGTCTCTAAAAGGCTTGCCATCACTGGAATATATCAATGACCCATTATGATAAACTAGGTGTCAGTTCAATGCCATTTACTTGATAGAGCTAAGAAGTATAGTCAAGTGTCCTTGACAAGCAGCAATTACTACTAAAACAAAATCCTAAAAATGTCTAACCAGTAGTAAAACAAATCCAAACTCAAGACCATGCTAAACACAGGAGGAATTAAGGGCCACAAAGTAGGCAAGGCTGTGTTGTCATTTTAAAGAGTTTTAAGTGTCTGTTTTAGGGATAACAATTTAATTTTAATTTATTCCCTCCCCAAAATTGAAAAAAATTGTATTGTAATCAGTTTTCAGCAATCATGTTTCACTGCTCCAGGGATCACAAGACTCTACCTCTGCTAAAGATGTCCAATATACGGTATATAAAAAGTCATATTGTATAAACTCACTTGACAGTAGGATGGGTGACATATAGCATAGATTAAATAAATAAAATAAAACGTTTCATGATTGCTTTAAGGTAACCTGCTACCCAAATTAGGCTTCAATTGCTACCAAGCTAATCAGCACAAATAACTCTTAAATTGAACTGAAAGAACAAATTAGTTGTGAAAGTCTATATTCCAACTAACAAGCAAAACTAAAATAAATATGCAGTGCAAATTTGAAAATTGTTAATAGCAAACAGTGGGTTCAAATCAACTCAATGTATAATATAATCAGACAAGACACTAAATTCTCATATTAAAGATGTATTTATTTAAGCATTTATATAGTCATCCAACTCAAATTATGTGATTCTGGGAGGTATACAAATAAATATGGATATTTATTTGGGAGTAGTTGCAAATTATTTATTATTTCTATGTTTTGTATTTTATCCCTGTGTTCCTTTTTATTGAAATATATAAACGTGCCATACAACCAATTAGTCAGTCAGCAGTTTGGTGGTTGAGAGATCAGGCTAGAAACTGGGAGATGATGACAGCTAGTCCCACCTTTAGTACACTAAATCAGCGAGGCAACCTTTGGCCCATCTCTCTCTCTCAGCCCTAGAAAGCAGGTAATGCAAACCACTTCCAATATCTTGCCAAGAAAACTGCGTGGACTTTCAGGCAGTCATCAGGAGTCAACACTGACTCAAAGGAACACTACCATCCCAATTGCAAATTAGGGGTAATTGTTTATGGCATATCTATGTATCATGACTTGCATACAACAGGATCTAAAGATTTATCTTTTTTAATTTCATACCCAATATCGGCACTGTCTATATTAACATCCTTCAAATGTCCCTTCTACATAGTTGGTAATTCGTAGAATAAGTCTTCAAGAAGACACATTAAGACACAATAAAACCACATCCTGGATTTCAACAGAACAGATTGTACTGCAATGCACTTTTATGATTATATTGAAATTCCACTGCTTTCATCTTCACATTTACAGTGCAACATTTTATGTCCTGTTGGAAAGCCTGCTGAGTTCAGCAGTATTCAGTAGAATCTTATGCATATTTATTGGAGAGTGCAATAGTTGCATGTAACTAGAGACTGTTCCCACTGAAATCAGTAGATACAAAACAGGCAGCTCTGGGGGTTTTTTTCCCGGCCCGTCTTTACATCCTTAACTATGTTAAACAGCTCTGGAATATTTTCAGCCATTAAATGTCAGAAGACCCAGGTTGCTTGGTCGGCACTGTGTCATCAAACTTTGATGGCCCAACGGATACAGTTCTAAGAACCTCAAAAAGGAAATCCTTTTGCTTTGGGGTGAGTGGTTGCAAATTGCTGAATTGTAACCTGAGCCTTCTCCCCACACATACACAGAATGGCAAACCATAAATCAGTCGCTTTAATCCTTGTCTCCTATGACACTTGCACTCTTGGCTCTTTTTATGAACGTGGTGGCACAGTGGTTAGAATGCAATACTGCAGTTTTGCTGACTGCCAGATGCTTTTGCTGACTGCCAGATGCCTGCAGTTTGGCAGTTCGATTCTCACTGGCTCAAAGTTGACTCAGCCTTCCATCTTTCTAAGGTCGGTAAATGAGGACCCAGACTGTTGGGGGCAATATGTTGACTCTGTAAACCGCTTAGAGAGGGCTGTAAAGCACTGTGAAGCAGTATATAAGTCTAAGTGCTTTTGCTATTTTCTCTACATTGTCTTTTAAATATACAAGTAGTCCTCAATTTATGACAACAATTGAGCCCAACATTTCCTTCACTAAGCAAGACAGTTGCTGAGTTTTGCCTCTTTTACAAGCTTTCTTGCCACAGTTTTTTAAGTGAATCATTGTAGTTCTTAAATTAGTAACATGGTAGTTAAGTGAATCTGGCTTCAGATTCTGGCCTGACTTTGCTTGTCAGAAGGTCAGATGACTACGATGGGACACTGCAACCTCATAAATATGTGCCAGTTGCCAAGCCTCCAAGTTTTGATCACATGACCATGGGGATGCTGCAACCTTCTAAGTGTGAAAGAAAAGGTCAAGTCGCTATTTTCAGTGCCCTTGTAACTTCGGTCGCTAAACAAATGGTTGTAAGTCGAGGACTACCCAAACGAGACAGTATAACGTAATACATAAATACTACGAAACTAAAATAATTACCAGCGTATCCTTTCCCAACTGGAAACGTGAGGCTAGTATTACAACCCCGGCTGACATAATCTTCCCTTTAGGGATAACTTTTTTTCCAGAAAACAAACGGCAAAGGAGCCATTCGGTTTTGGCAGCAGCGCCATGCTTCAAGCAAGAAGCTGGTCCTTTTTTTTTTTTTCCCGGTGCCGCGTTTCCCACCTGTTAGCCCCCGCTCCCGTCTTCGTGACGCGGAAGCTGCCCTTCTTAAGACCATGGGCAAACAGGTACGTGAAGAGACTAGCCGGGGTGGGGGTGGGGGGAAGAAACCGGGCAAGCCCTGGTCGCCTCTTCCCGCGTTTCGGGAAAGATAAAAGGCAGCGCTAGCCTGCTCTGGAGTGGAGGGAGTGCATTTAGGTCTTTCCCCGTCATTGAGTCCCCCGCTTCTTGCTCTTATCCCCGCTCATTTGCGACACGGGAAGCGGCTATCGCTACTTCTTTGACTCAAGTACGGAAAGAATTTGGGCTCCGTACTTCTACCGTGGGGGGAAATGAGCGAAAGGAAACGGGCGGAGAGAGCGCTGAGGGGGGTAACTTCGGCAAAGCGGAAGCTTTGGACTCACCCCGGCCCGTCTGGGCGGGTGTGTTGAGTCGCGGGCTTGTACGAGCTGCTCATTTTTTTTTGGGCGGCCCCGCGTTACGTGTGGGAACCGTCGTCCGCCCAGAGAAGTCGGGACCTCGCTCTGGGTGGGGACTGCGCGTGCGTAGCCCGTTTAAAACAATTTATTTATTTATTTATTTATTTTACAAACGGCCCCCGGAGACGCGGCGAAGATCCCGAAGAGATCGTTTCTCTTCCCGTAATCGGGGCGGGGGGGCGGGGGCGAGGGGGGGAGAAAGAGCCTTCCGCGAGCGCGACGCCGGCAAGCGGACGCCGCCGTCTCGTGACTTGAAGCGCTCGCGCTGGCAGGGAAAGAGAAGGCAGGCAAAAGCGAGCGGGCGGGCGGACAGGCGGGCGGGGGAGCGGAGAGGCGGTGTCGCGGGCGCGCCCACCTCCTTTGCGCCGTGACGTTGGGCCTCTTCCTCCCCCTGGTGGCTTCCCGCTCCCTCCTCCCTGCATCCACTGCTGCCGCTGCTTCCCAGAGCCTGTGAGCCGTCGCCGCCGCCGCTCCCGCAGCCTTCCCGTGCCATTTCCTCCTCTCCGCCGCGGCGGCGATGTGATTCCCTTCTCCAGGCTCGGCCCGCCCCAGCTGAGCGGCGAACATGGCGGAGGTAAGTGAGGGAGAGTCGCGGGTGGCGGCGAGGGGATGGAAGGAAAGGATGGGAAGGAGGGAGGGAGGGAGACCGAGGAGAAGGGGAGGAAGAGGAAGAGGAAGGAAGCGGCGGCTGGAGAGGGGAAAAAAGACATGAGTCGAGTCCGGGGCTGACCGGGAACTTGTTGCGCGGCCGCTGCCCTCCTTTTCCTTTCGCTTCCCCGCAAGTTAGTTACGGAGATGGGAGGAAGGTCCCGAGATGGGCCTGGGTGGCGTCTTGCGCCTAGAACTCGCGCTGCCCCCCCCCCCCGGGGTCGGTGAGGACGCCCCGGCCCTGCGGGACCCGGCGTGGCGGGATGGGTTGGGCGGGGGGGGGACGAGAAACGTTGACATAACCGTTTCGCTTCCTTCTGGGATGAGAGGTGCCTTCCTGCGAAGGAGAAGAGGAAAAAAAAAAGGCTGTTGCTTTCTTCCTGTTTGGGACAGTCGGGATTCACCCAAGTTGCCCCCTTGTTTTCCTCCCCCCCCCCCACCAGAAGAGTGGGAGGCGGAAAGGGAGATCTGGGGAGACCCGAAAGCTTCCTGGGGCGACTTGGGGAGTCAGAGAGGCTTATTTTAAATTAATTAAATTAATAATAAATAAATTAAATTAAATTAATAAAATTAATAAATAAATTAATAAATTTTGCTGAAGCGCCCCCTCCCCTCCCGAGGGTTGGGTGTTTTAGTCTTTAAAAGTCTTGGAAGGGGGGGGGGAGAGCTCTGTGTTGCTCCAGCATTTAGAGTGGCCAGGATACTTTCTAACAGGTTAAATTCTTGGCTTGGGAACACTGGGAAAAAGGCCATTCTCAGCTTGGACTGGGATGGGAAGGGGGGTTATCATTTGCCAGAACTGTAATGTTTGTCGCTCCCTCCCCCCCCCCCTTGAAATTCAGAAACTCAAAATGGTGTTTTTAGACTCATGGTATGATTGAGCAACTTATCAGACTTGCTCAAGGTGGCTGGGCAGGAGGTGGCGGCACCTGTCCAGCTTTTTGTTGGGTGTGTAAGCTAGGCAGGGACTGGCCTGGTGAAGAGTTGGATGGAAGACCACCAAGGGATACCGAATCTATAGGCTAGAGAGGAAACTAGGAAAAAACACCCAGAAAAGGAACAATAGCAAACCATTTCTGTTTTGCTGCCATGCGAAAAGCATATGGATGTAGATGAGCTTGACTAGGAGAGCTTACTTTAATTCTTTATGCTACCATACAGCCTTTGATTGATTCCTACAAGTAATGGGGTATTGTTTCAAAGTTGATAATAGTATAGTTTACTGCCATTTGAATATTCTTTAAAACATTGATGTGCTTTTTGGTGTAAGGAAAACCTCTTAAAATCTCTTATCGCAGCTTGAAGGAATTAGTTATCTCAAAAATTGATAACGTGTTTTAGCACATCTTTGAAAAGGAGCGTCTTTCCCCACTCTGCTTAAAAAGTGTTATAATTATTCCATGTGGAGCCAAACAAATAAAGTGCTTTGATGCCTTCATCTTTGCTCACTTTATAAATAAGATTGTGTCCCTGTGACATTTTTGTTTAAAATGATACCAAAAATGAAAAGATGTAAAAGAAATTGGTTTGTATTTGCAGTTATATTAATATGTGAAAAAATAGGTAAGCTCATCTCAGGACAGGCAAGAGAACAGTTTTCAGGAATCCATTAAAAAAGGAAAAGATCAGAGAATATTAATCATTACAGTTGAGATTTAGAAAATGAAACTGATTAGTTTCATGAACATGTGGCTCATGTTCAAACTTGCCTGTTTTCGCAGTTTCCTTTCTGAAAACTTAATGGTTTTTACATCTGTTTGATACAATGAGTTAAAATGAGTATACTTAACTTTTCTTTGTTTTATTGCAATGTTGAAAGTGTCTTCTGTTTTTGTAGTAGCTTTTTGCCTGCTTTTCTTTTCTAAATAGATAAAGTAGTATTACCTTAAAGTTTATCATGACATAATTCAATTTTTAATAGTGGGGCTGAAGACTTAATATGAATATGTCCTATTGTTTTCTGGAGTTTTGTATATTTGTATTAATTTTATACTTATTTAGTCAGTTTTATACTCACGAACCATATTCTACATTGCTTCTGAAACAAGACTGTTTTGAAGTAATGATTACTGCTAGATGATCAGGCTATCTAATGATTTTTTTTTCTTTTTCTCTGTTTACTTTTTACCATTCTGTTTTGTTATCAGAGGGATTTCTAAAGTAATTTACAAAGGAGTATATTTTTAAACAAAATCTTTATAATCAAAACCAAAAAAATAGAATAATAAAAAAAAAAAATTGTAACCATTTCATTAAAACAAGATGAACTCTTGAAGAGTTTTTCCCCTTAGGAGACACATGTTTATTGAACTCATCAAAAATTCTCCAAATCATTACCTGATCCAACTAAAGAGGCACTAAATAAGGCAAGCATTCCTGGGGAAAATATTTTTGAGCAGTATTATCGTAACAAAAAAAATCCTCAAATATGCATGAATGAGAGTATTAATAATATTGCTAGCTACTAATTTTGTTTCAATAGTTTTAAAATAATTCAAGTTTCCTTTAATTATCAAAATACTTTAAAGACCAAATCATCTGATCTGATCACCTAGTGGTTTTTATATGTAGAATTAAACTAGTAATTTTTAACTGGGAAAAGGTATTGCATTGTAGATTATGGAAGGATATAAATTTTTTGGACCTCCTCATCACACAAATTTTATATATTGTAATGGCTTTGCAAAGCAAGCTGTTTCTGTTGTACGAAAAAAGCAGGTTTTCTGGTTTCTGTAGTTCCATTTTCCCAGACCAATTTTTAAACAATAAACTAAATTAATTTTTCCCACTTGAATAAAGTACCAGGAAAACTACATTTGTAAAAGTTTACAAATTTCTAAAAGCTAGTAAAAGTTTTTACATGTTGTAGTAAGTTACATTAACTGCAGAATTTTGATATGCATTCATTATATAGTTGAATCAATAGTATATGGGAAGTTAAAGCTGTAGAAAAAAGTTTATGGTAAATTATTGTCAGACTCATTGACAACTGCTTAAATGGAAATTTAAATTTACTCTTAGAGGTATGATTGTTACAAGATCTTTTTAGCAAAATTAATAGAGATAGACGGGATGGGCTTACTAGAATTTCAGCAATTAGTTATTTTCAATTTAGAATCAGTATATAAATTAAAATTCTCAACTTTCAGACAAATTGATAAGGAAGTGGATTTCTGTCCTGATAACAAGGAAGCTTACATAGGTTGTTTATATGTTTTTATCAGTTGGGGAACTAATTCTTACTCTATTTTTCTTTGCTTATCATTATGTCAATGGTTGTTTATTTGCTTATCATTATATCATTAATTTAAAGTTATGGCGGCCTCTGAAAAAATGACTTATGACCATAATGGTTCTCAAAATTACAACCAATGCACCACCCAAGGTCACATGATCATAATTTGAGTGCTTGGCAACTGGCTCACATTTATGATGGTTGCAGCATCTTGCAGTCATGGTCATTATTTGTTACCTTCCCATCCATCTTCCAACAAGCAAAGTCAATGGAGGAAGTTAGATTCGTTTAACAAACGCTGTTATTCACTTAACAACCACAGTAAAAATGGTAGTACACTCCAGTCCAGTCACCTAATGACTCGTTTAATGGCCGTATTACTTAATGACCAAAATTGCCATCCCATTTATGGTCATAAGTTGACAACTACTTATTGCAATAAAAACATCAACACTTACCATGCAATAAAGCAATACAATGCCAACTTTGAGAGAGGTGTTTAATTTAAAAAGCAACATAGCATTGCAGAGTTAAAGGCAGGGGCATACAAACAGCAAAGGCAAGGCCTTTCCCAGTTAAAAATGAATGATTCTACCCACACGAGCTCAGAAATACAAAATATTCACAGTTTCTCCCTTGCTCCATACCTCCAATCTTTCAAAGAAACAAGCCTGATCTCACAGTGCTCCAGCAAGAGAAGAATGGCTTGTGAGGATAGAGCTGCTGCTACTACATCATTCTCCACTTGTTCCCAAGTAAGCTGTTGCCTCAACAACAGTAGTGACGCCATTATTGACAGTCACCTCCTATTCTTCAGCCAGGAATGGGATGCTTTGCAATGACTAAGAAAGTAAGAGGAGATCCTTGTGAGGCTTAAGCATGTTGTGACAGCAGCAGAGAAGCAGCAGCTCATGATGCCTCTCTTCCCTTTCTCCCAATCAGTCTCAATTGCGAGAGAGTCAACAACTTAACTCTCAAATCGCACAGCTCCTTGTGAGAGTTTTGCTTTGGGGCCCAGAGAGCTCTACATACACTACATGTTCTGACAATGAGAATATTTATTTGTTGAAAGCAGAATGAGAAGGGAGCCAATTTTTTTCTTCTTTGGTAGTAAATTCGGTAATTATGCTATAGAATCTGGTTTCCAGTGATGATAATAAATTATCAGTATTTATTTCTTGCATTCATATCCTACCACAATTCAGATAGACTCTTGGTGTTCACACTGAACAACCTGCCTCCAGAAGCGGTAAATGCTCCAACACTGGAAGTTTTTAAGAAGAGACTGGACAGCCATTTGTCCGAAATGGTATAGAGTTTCCTGCCTGAGCAGGGGGTTGGACTAGATAACCTTCAAGGTCCCTTCCAACTTTTTATTATTATTATTATTATTATTATTATTATTATTATTATTATTATTATTATTATTAATATGGAAATAAATGTTACTTTAAATTTCCTGATCTCACATAGTTTAGAACTTTGTAGATCAACACGAGTACATTGAATTGCACTTGGAAGCACAATAAAAAGCAATGAAATGTTTGAAGAGCAAAGTAATGTGATGTGTGGAACATATGCTTTGCAAAAGTCTCCCTGCTGTCTTTTGCACTAGCTCCAGTTCCTGATCTATAGCTTGTTATATAAAACAGGTTCGTCTAGGATGGTAAAGTTAAAGAGATCTTGAAAAT